GTCCCCGTGCTACCAAAACCTTGCCACACAAACCCAATACAAGTGTTTATGGAAATGCAGTTGCATATGGCAGATAAAGCTGCAAAACACAGTAGCTGAGCTTGGGAAAGGGATAGAGAGGAAGAATTTCCCATCCCTACATGAACCAGAGGATGGAGGAAAGGAGTTCTGGTATATTGTGTTACAGTGCATACTATGTCATTTACTCTTACATGAATCTAAAACTTGCTTATTACTTTGGGAATGGTTCCAACTCACTCTTCTAGAATATTTGTTTCTATGTATGGAGTGAAAAATTGGTAAAAGTTTAATTAGTAGACTGAAGTCAGTAGAGTTTAAATAGTTACAATTTCTGTGAATTGTGCTATTTAAATTAATTGGGGAGGGAAAGAGCCTGTAAAACAGCTGTTCCCACTTTGTAAATAGCTCATTGCTTATTAATTAGAATCTGAAATATAGTTTCTTGAAAAAAATCCCTTGATGTTGGCTCAATTCAAGGAAAATCTTCTTGTACCACATATGAATAGAAATGTAAACTCTTATTTTAAAACTTTGCTAAATATTTACATTATATTTTCATTTCACTTTTTCGCCTTGAGCAAAACCTTTTTCTAGGTTAAATTGATTAACTTGTTTTGTGTAAACTATTAAAATTCAGTTCATTAATTATGTCAGTATTTTGAATTTTACACCATATCAGACTTCAAAGCAGTGTGTCATGTTGTTATAATAATCACAAGCTATGAATCACCCCAAAATGTTGCCAAATAATAAAACTAAGGAACTGCAGCAGATCTGTAGTAATGAAGCCTCAAGTTGTCTTCTACTCTGATACAAACCAGTGTGTTACTATTCTGCTTTATGAATGAAATTACTGTTGAGTGAAGAATAGCTTCACAGCCTCAGTACACAATTAGATAATATTTAAAGACTTGGGAAGAACAAGGTGAAATTAAAATGTTGAGTTTGCAAGCTGAATTATACAGCAGTACTCTAAAAGGAATGTTTCAATTCAAACTTAAGTTCTCATATGTGTGTAAACGTAGATAAGCTGATCAGGTGGATGCTGTTCAGAAAATCTGGAAAACTAAGAAGATAGAGAGGATAAAGAAGATTAGAGAAAAAAAGCAGACGTTGATCAGGCCTTGTTTCAGGTGAAACAGGAAATCTTAAAAGAGAATAGGGGAGAGTAACGGCTTTGCACAAAGTATTTCTTCTGATGCTTTTCTCGTCCACTGTGTTGAGAAAAAAAATGAAAGAATGAATTGGAGATTTATTGATCCAAAAGAACACATAAATATTGAATGTGCTTTGCCTGGATGCCCTTTGTACTAAGAGACTGATTCCCTTTCGTAGGTGTAGATGATAGCCAATATACCTTGACTCACATTTAATTGAAATTACTGCTCCCTGTTCTCTGTACACATTATGGAGCTCCTTCACATCAATTGAAAAAAAACCCACCTAAATTACTAGATAAATTCTTTTCCTGATATTCCTGTTAATATAGGTGGACAGCACTGCTTGAGAACTGCACTAAAGTGAAACTAGTGGTGCCAATAGTGTTGAAGCAAATCAGTCCTGAAATCGATAAAGTTCAGGTTCCCTGCACAGTTGTGGTGATTGGCTTCACTATCACACTTCTTAGCTGGTGGCGGTAGTACTCTGAAAGTGCTCTGTGATGAACAGATGAAACTCTTCTCTCTACCATCAGTGCAGCTCATTATTTATTGAACATTGCTCTCAAAGAATTCTGTTTGGGGCAGATGAATCTGAGGGCGTATTTGCAGACTGTTGTTAATCTGAGAAAGAAAACATGTTTTTCCAAGACTGAAGAAAATCATTTAGAAATGATGAAAGAAAGGCCAGAAGTAATAATCCAGAGAAAGGCAGAAGTTTATTACAGAAAGGTAGATCTAATTTGCACAACGTCTGTGCAGAACTTGCATGAGCAGAAATTGTGTAACAGAAGTTTCACATCTCTCCTTTTGGGAGAAATTTGTCCAGGCTTTTCTGTCTCATTTTACCTGCCTCATGGAGCACAAAAGCAGCTCTGGTCTGCTTTTGTGAAGTATTTTTGCAGGAGTTCTTCATTGTTGAAGATTTGTTGCTTGTGTCTTAAACCTGAAAAATGTTTGGGTATTTAAAAATTTTCATATTCAAAACTTGAGTCCACTACCTCACCTTCAAATCTCTGCATCTTGTATCTTTAGATAATTACGTTTGTGGCATTTAAAAATAACAAAAATTTATGTTTTTATTACTGTCTACATCTAGAATTCTTAGAAGGGGTGACAAACCCTGTATTCAGTGCACTAATAATCTTGCTTAACCATCTTGACTACCTTAATTTGGACTTCAGATACCATTTATCTGAATATCTTGGGATAAATCAAAGCAGAAGAATGCATAAAAACATAATAGAGTATGCGATATTCTAGTCTTCAAAAATTGTTTTATCAGTATATTGATAAATTATTTTTTCCTTTTATACTTAATTTCTTATGGGAATAAAAATGGAAAATTTGATGTCAAAAGCCAAACTAAAGGGTATTTCCTGTTCTCAACAAACTTCCAAAATAATTTATGATTGGAAGATCATTCTTCCTATGTCTATCCATTTCTACTAATTGTTTTCCAGTTTCCATATTGTTTCTCTTGGTTACATTGGACATCTTGTGTTCCCTGCCCTGACAAAGTTGAGACTTCTAGCACCATTTTGTATTCACAGGCTTGTTAATAACATACACAAGCAGGAGTGTATCTTGGAGCACATAACAAAAGGCTTTTATGGTTAATTCTGAAAAGTGTTGTCTGGAAAAGTAGGCAATTGATTACATCACCAGCTGCTGAAGAGAAAGTAAGCTTAACTGTACTTAAATGGCTGTAAAACTGACCGGCGGAAAAGGACCTGGGAGCACTGGTCAACAGCTGGCTGAATGTGAGCCAGCAGCATGCATGGGTGGCCAAGAAGGCCAACAGCATCCTGGCCTGTATCAGCACTACTGTGGAAAGCAGTGATTGTCCGCACCCCTGTGCTGAGTACTGGAGAGGCCGTGATCTTGAATCCTGTGTTCAGTTTGGGGCCTCTCACTACAAGAGAGACATTGAGGTGCTGGAGCAGGTCCAGAGAAGGGCAGTGGAGCTGGTGAAGGGTCTGGAGCACAAGTGTGATGAAGAACGGCTAAGGGAACTGAGGGGGCTTAGTCTGGAGAAGGGAAGGCTTGGGAGGGGACCTTATCACTCTTTACAACTACATGAAAGGAGGTTGTAGTGAGGTGGGTGTTGGTCTCTTCTCCCAAGTAACAAGTGATAGGGCAAGAGGTAACGGCCTCAAGTTCAACCAGGAGAGGTTTAGATTGGATACTAGGAAAAATCACTGAAAGGGTTGTCAAGCACTGGGACAGGCTGCCCAGGGAAGTGGTGAAATCACTATCACTGGAGGCTTTTAAGACATGTAGATGTGGCACTTAGGGACATGGTTTCCTGTTGGGCTTGGCTGTGTTAGGTTAATGGTTGGATTCAATGAACCTAAAGGTCTTTTTCAATCTAAACAATTTTATGATTCTAAATTGAAGCTTAATCTGTTTAAATAATGTTCCCAACTGTGATGCAGCAGTAGCTGAGAATGACTTTTCCTTTGCTTTTGCTTTAGAAGTTAAGAAAGCAGAGAAAGAGGAAGAATCTTGTTAGAAAACTAGTTGTTGCAGATTAAGTTGTTCTCAGAAGCACTAAATATGTAGAAAGGTGGCAGTGAGGTATGTGGGAGTAAGAAAAACTTTTCACATAGAAACAAGTGAACCGGTATCCAGTATTTACACTGCTGATACCATGCGCTAACACTTCGTTCTATTTATCAATAGAGAGTGTAACTATAGGATATAACTCTGAGTATTATAAATTTCTTACCTAATAGAATCATAGAATCACAGGGTGTTTTGGGTTGGAAAGGACCTTAAAGTTCATTTAGTTCCAACCCCCTGCCGCGGGCAGGACCACCTTCCACTAGACCAGGTTGCTCAGAGTTCCATCCAGCCTATGAACACTGCCAGGGACAAAGCAATAATCCAAATAGCATGAATTTCGAAGGCTAGCATCATATTAGCTAAAAGATGCAGTACTCATAGATTTCTGGTCCCGTATATAGAGGTGTAATGTATCTTACTTCAAACTAATGTACTTGTTCTGGACAGTTTGTGTGAAAATGAGTGCTGCACTCTCCAGAAGATGATGACAGTTTCTCAGTTTACCTTTTCAGTTTTCAAATCCTCACAGTCTGACACCAGTTGATACAGTCACTGCCTGTTCTGAATCATGCAAAAGACAGAATACAAAAATAGCTTGCAGCAGCAGCATATAAAGCAGGGTTTTCCATATCAAGGTCAGAGAATCCGGTTTGTTTGCAAGAATGGTGGGAAGGAATGGGATAAAATCTAAATATTGCTAACATGGCATTGAAAAGTACTTCAGCTAGAATATGCAGGAAAACATTCCAATCAGTAGCGTATCTTTTTAAGTTTTTTAGATTTATTCCTCTTCTGGAGAAAATACAAGCATGGTTGTTCTGTAAAATTTGGCCAGGTACAAAGCAGGAAATTTGGTTTCATTTCCTTGCCTTTATTTTGTTTCCCAGCAATTGATGCTGGGAAGTAAGGATTAATGGAAGTTCATATCTATGTATATAGATATGTATTATATAATGATTTTAAGGCTTTAAGGATATGTATTATATAATAATTTTAAGGGTTTTGTTCAGCTGAAAGACATGGGTAGAATATGGGTCCTGTGGAGCTATTTTATTTCATTCTAAGTATTTTGAAATCCTGAGCAAAAGATGCATATTAACTGTCTGTGCTTGTTACTTCTTTACATATTCATCCTGCAGATACATGGACTTTTCTATGCTTTAGGAAATGCTGTGTTACGTGCAGTTTGTGGTGGGGCTTTTCATTTTCACAGGTGCCATATTTGGTGGGGTTTTTCTGTTCTCTTTTCTCCAGGCTGATGCCATGGCATCATCAGGGCTCTTCTTCAAAGATGGAAAAAAGCGCATTGATTACATCTTGGTGTACAAGAAGTCAAGTCCACAGGTAGAAAAAAGAAGCACATTTGAAAAGAATTTGAGAGCAGAAGGGTTGATGTTAGAACGAGAGGTAAGTCTTGTAGCTTATGTGGCATAAAACCCTTTTATAGTATTGTCATACTTAACTGAATTTATAAAAGATTCTTGAAAACCTTAAAAGCCTTTCCAATCAGGCTGTTCCTACCATTTGTTTGATACTACTAAATTACTACTAACTATTGTTTAACATGTTTTGGGGATGCATGCTTTTACACACACACATGTACTCTCCATACGTGTGTAGTGTAGTAGAGTGAAAATTTCCAGCTCCTTATGCTTGCAGAAGAAGCTTCAGTAATTCATGTTATTGTTTTAATATATAACCTCTATGTCTTCAAGCACAATGCATGAAGGACTAAATGTCTCTGGTTTTCAACGGGTTAAGACTGTCAGTGTCAAGTTAATCCATGCCTAATAATGACAGTATTAATATAAAAATGAAGGAAAACAGAGCCAGGAAAACAGCCTTGAATTTTTGCTGTTTCATCAATTACTTACCAAACAGGTACATGTTTAGTTTGTCCTGAAGTAAGCTCCTATAGTGCCTCTGTCTTTTATCCTGATTTATACATTTCAACTCAATGGAATCACCTTACATTTTCTGTGTTAAAGGTTTTAACCAGTTTGTAGTCCTTGCAAGCTGTAGCTGACAATGCAGCATGTTAAATAGTCATAAAAATCTAACCTGAGAGTGGATTCAAATTTGGTTTTGAGGCTTTTAAAGATTGTTACAGTCTAGTTGTAATAATACCTGGTTTTGTTCAAATTTCAATAAAAATCCCAATCTCAACTGGTGTCAATTGACACTTCAGAAAACAAGAAGTTTAAGATCATAATTCTAGATATCAGGTGGTTTAAATTGTCTTCCAGTAGTATCTATTTATCCACATCATTTAAGAAAAATAAAACCCTAGAAGCAGTATTATTGAACTGTGGTATGACTTTCTGGAACTGTGTAGTTAGAATTGTGAGCAATAAAGATTTTATTAATCCTTTAACTAAATTCTGCTTTACCTTTACTTACCAAACCTTGCATCCCTTAAGTTTTTGGGAGGATATAATCGAACTCAGCTGGACAAAAATATTTGCTTATAAAAACTCAGGCAAATATGTCTTGGGAGAAGGGTGTGGAACTGTTCGTAAGAAAAGATAATCTGAAATGCTGAAACTTGTTTTATGTACAGATAAATTAGCAATGAAAAACATTTGTGCAGAGTATTCCTTGAGATTTTACCAAAAACTAGTAATTCATGCAGAGATAACATTTATAATTTCATAGCAGATACTGTAATTATTTAACTGTTCCCTGGAGCTGCCATTTGGCAGAGCAGGATCTGCGGTCTTCTCCCAGCTGTTCGTACATCTCCAGCAGCTGAGCACTCTTCTCCTTACATGGGAGACACATAGAATAGTCTTCAAGCTGCTCGTCTAAGATGATTTTGAGGGGATTTAAAGTAAATTCATTTATTGCATGTCCAAAAATGCTTCATTCAGCCTTTCTCAACTTCTGCTGTGTCTGGGACCAAAGATACGCCTAGAGAGTTACTAGCTTACTCCTATTACGGGGTTTGGAAAGGAAACAAAGAAGTTAATAATTTTCCTTTGTCTAGCTGAGAGCTCTTACAGTGTTTTCAGACTTGCATAGTCACTTGAAGGCCTAAATGCAGAATTTGGCCCTGAGGAATGCTTTTAGAAAGGTGAGTGCCATAGAGATTTGAATTGCTAACATGTATTTGTTTGCTACCACTCTTTACAGCCAGCTGTTACAAACAGTGATATCATGTTTGTTAAAATTCACTGTCCGTGGGAGACATTGTGCAAATATGCAGAAAGAATGAATATCAGGATGCCTTTCAGGTACTGTGGAAACTCATTTCAGAAACTTGTAATTTAGTGCTTAATACTAAAAGTTCATTACTTACCTTAAGGCTGAAATGTAGTCTTTGTTGCGTCGTGGCAGGCACACTTACATGTAATTTAGTGTGGTGGTAGGGGAGAGGAGAAACAAATCATAAGCACTGTTCTTTTCACATTTACGTGTGGTACTTGTTTTCAGACTTACCTGCCAAATCATATTGACCATATGTCTTTAGAAAATACTGTTAGTAGTTCACATATTATTTTAAGGCTTTGGAGACGTCCAGATATCCTCCATCTGAGCTCAGGTATTCTCAGTGATTTTAGGGTATTTCTGAAGTCTTACCTAAAAGCAAGTGAAATGACAGAAATAGCTGGTGTCTCATGTGTCTCCAATATAACATATATTTGCATACTTTGAATAAAATTAGATTTATTTCTGGGTTCTGTAGCTTTCCTGTGGCAGAATAATGAAATGAATTGACTTCCTTCTATCATATATTTTTACAATAAATATTTCTTTATTGATTTGTAGACGGGCTGAGAGAGCTGTGCTTGTTCAGCCTGGAGAAGAGAAGGCTCTAGAGAGAGCTTATAGCAGCCTTCCAATACCTAAAGGGAGCCTACAAGAAATCTGGAGAGGGACTTTTTACAAGGATGTGTAGTGGCAGGATAAGGGGTAATGGCTTTAAACTGACAGAGGGGAAATTTATATTTGAAATTAGGGAGAAATTCTTCCCTGTGAGGGTGGTGAGGCCCTGGCACAGGTTGCCTAGAGAAGCTGTAGCTGCCCCATCCCTGGCAGTGTTCAAGGCCAGGTGAGACAGGGCTTGGAGCAACCTGGTCTAGTGGAAGGCATCCCTGCCCGTAGCAGGAGGTTGGAACTAGCTGGTCTTTAAGGTCCTTTCCAACCTAAACCTTTCATTTCCAGTGTTTCTATTTAGGACACAGTTAATATTTTTTGCAACAATACAGAAATTTTTAAAGGAGAAAACATGCCTTTTCAAATTTATTAATAATGTTCTTCCAGAGAGAGAAGAGCATGTAGTGTGCTGTAAATCTCCTCAGGAGTTAAAAGTGGTAACTAGATGCTGAAGCTGTGTGATTCAACAGAAAATACCCTTAGAGCACTCCTTTCTTATTTGAATTGCCAGGTGCTTTATCCTTCATGTCAGCTATCACAGTATGACTCTCTTATATTGCTCCTAAACTGGAGTCATCATGAAGCATCTTTCGCTCAAAACTTGCTTCAAATACCCAGTTCCATACTGAGTTTCCACTAATCCCATTAAGCCTTCAAAGTCCTTTCCATAAAAAAGGTGTTTTCTTAAGTCATCTTCCTTGTGCATTTGAGCTTTTCTAGTTTGAATACTTGTCAACATTTTAAATATACAAGTATTTGCCTCTGTGTACACATACATAAACAATCTAAACTCCAATTAAAAAATACTTCCTTCATCCTTCTGATACATGAAGTCACAAAATTAAGTTAGGATTTAGCAATGGTTTGGTTTGAATTCTTCATCTTCCTAGTAACTTCATAGTTCTACTGAACTATGAAGTTACTGTAGTGCTCTTCAGGAAAAGAAAGGCTAAGATTTGAAGTGCTGCTTCATTTGGAAGGTATTTGAAGTTATGTTTGTTTATTGTTATTAACTGAGATATAAATACATTCTCTGGGCTTTTTTTCCCCAAGTGTCTGATCCCTGTTTCTTTGTTTCTGGGCTGTTGCTTAAGCTTCTTTTAATCCCACTTAGTTCATTACACCAAAAGTAGATAAAATGATAAATTCTCCTGTTTCACCTTGTTGGCAGTTTTGCTGTAGAATGAAACACAGTAATTTGTTAAGAAAAAAAGCCCACTCTCCACATCTACCACCATAATAGAACTGTGAGAAATAGTAAACTGATCATCATTTATTTTGTCCTTTCAAAGATTTTAATAGGAATTTTAATGAAAATGCAATCTAAAACTGGTGTGAATATTTCAAACAGTCTATTCACTGAATTTCCATACTTTTTAAAAAATAAACGTAAATACATTTTTATTGTGACCACAGAGTAGATGTAGCAGAATAGCTAAGGTTGGTCTTGCTCTGCCAGCAGCCTGTCTGAAGTGTCCAATACAGAAGCCAAGCAAATATAGGGCACTGTATCACAGTATGCTAGAGATTGGAAGGGACCTCAAAAGATCATCTAGTCCAATCCCCCTGCTGGAGCAGGAACACCTAGATAATGTTACACAGGAATGTGTCCAGGCGAGTTTTGAATGTCTCCAGGGAAGGAGACTCCACAACCTCCCTGGGCAGCCTGTTCCAGTGCTCTGTCACCCTCACTGAGAAGAAGTTTTTTCTCAAGTTTAAGTGGAACCTCTTGTGTTCCAGTTTGTACCCATTACCCCTTGTCCTATCATTGTCTGCCACTGAGTAGAGCCTGGCTCCATCCTCGTGACACTCCCTCTTTATATATTTATATACACTAATAAGGTCACCCCTCAGTCTCCTCTTCTCTAAACTATAGAGACCCAGCTCCCTCAGTCTTTCCTCATAAGGGAGATGCTCCACTCCCTTAATCATCTTAGTTGCCCTGTGCTGGACTCTCTCCAGCAGCTCCCTGTCCTTCTTGAACTGAGGGGCCCAGAACTGGACACAATATTCCAGACGTGGTCTCACCAGGGCAGAGTAGAGGGGAAGGAGGACCTCTCTCGACCTACTAACCACCCCTCTTCTAATACACCCCGGGATGCCATTGGCCTTCTTGGCCACAAGGGCACAGTGTTGGCTCATGGTCATCCTGTCTTCCACTAGGACCCCCAGGTTCCTCTCCCCTACACTGCTCTCTAACAGGTCGTTTCCCAACCTATACTGGAACCTGGGGTTGTTCCTGCCCAGATGCAGGACTCTACACTTTCCCTTGTTATATTTCATCCAGTTATTCCCTGCCCAACTCTCCAGCCTGTCCAGGTCTCGCTGGATGGCAGCACAGCCTTCTGGCATGTCAGCCACTCCTCCCAGCTTAGCGTCATCAGCAAACTTGCTGATGGTACACTCAATTCCCTCATCTAAATCATTGATGAATATATTAAATAATGCTGGTCCCAGTACTGACCCTTGAGGCACTCCATTAGTTACAGGCCTCCAACTAGACTCAGCCCCATAGACTACAACTCTCTGGCTTCTCTCCTTCAGCCAGTTCACAGTCCACCTCACTACCTGATCATCCAGACCACACTTCCTCAATTTAGCTGTGAGGATGCTGTGGGAGACTGTGTCAAACGCTTTGCTGAAGTCAAGGTAGAACACATCCACTGCTCTGCCATCATCCATCCACCGTGTTATTTCCTCATAAAAGGCTATGAGATTGGTCAAACATGATTTCCCCTTGGTGAAGCCATGTTGACTGCCCCTCATAACCCTCTTATCCTTGATATGCCTTAAGATGGCACCAAGGATAAGGTGTTCCATCACTTTCCCAGGGATGGAGGTGAGGCTGACCGGTCTATAGTTACCCGGGTCCTCCTTCTTGCCCTTTTTGAAGACTGGAGTGACATTTGCTTTCCTCCAGTCCTCAGGCACCTCTCCCGTTTCCCAAGACTTGGTAAAGATGATGGAGAGTGGTCTAGCAATGACTTCCGCCAGTTCCCTCAGCACCCGCGGGTGCATCCCATCTGGACCCATGGATTTATGGATGTCCAGATTGCTCAACTGGTCTCTAACCCATTCCTCATCGACTAAGGCAAACCGCTCCGTTGACCTGACTTCATCTGAGGTCTCAGGGCTACAGGGCTCTTCAGGACTGCCTGCAGCAGAGTAGACAGAGACAAAGAAGGCATTCAGTAACTCTGCCATCTCCGTATCTTCTGTCACCAGGGCACCCACCCCGTTCATCAGTGGGCCTACATTGCCTCTGGTGTTAGTTTTATCTGCCATGTATTTGAAAAAGCTCTTTTTGCTGTCCTTGACCCTTCTCTCCAGGTTTAATTCTAAGCAGGCCTTAGTCATCCTAGCTGCCTTCCTACATCCTCTAGCAGCAGCCTTATATTCCTCCCAAGTGGCCAGCCCCTCCTTCCATGACCTGTAAACTCTCCTCTTCCACTTGAGCATACCCAGCAATTCCCTATTTACCCATGCAGGTCTCCTGGCCCTCTTCCTTGACTTCCTACGTGTCGGGATGCTCCGATCTTGAGCTCGGAAAAAGCAATCCTTGAATGCCAAGCAACTATCTTGGGCCCCTTTACCTTCAAACAGCCTTGCCCATGGGATTTCCCCTAGCAATTGCTTGAAAAGGCCAAAGTTTGCCCTGCTAAAGCCCAGGGTTGCAATTCTACTTGCTATTCTACTGGTCCTACCACACAAGATCCTGAATTCCACCATCTCGTGGTCGCTGCAACCAAGGCAGCCCTCAACCCTTACTGCTTCGACCAGACCCTCCTTGTTAGTGAGGATGAGATCCAGCAGCGCTCCTCTCCTGGTCGGCTCATCCACCATTTGCAGGAGGAAGTTATCATCCATACACTGGAGGAACCTCCTGGACTGTGGCTGGGTTGCTGAGTGGTCCTTCCAGCAAACATCAGGGAAGTTAAAATCCCCCACGACGACCACGGCCTGTGACTGTGAGGCCGCTCTCAGCTGCCTGTAGAAGGCCTCGTCAACTTCCTCACCCTGATCTGGTGGTCTGTAACAGACACCCACAACAGTATCGCCCCTGCCAGCCTGCCCCTTAATTCTCACCCACAGACTCTCAACTCGCTCGTCATCTGTCCCTGGAGAGAACTCAGTGCATTGTAGTTGCTCCCGCACATAAAGAGCAACCCCACCACCCCGCGTGGCTGGCCTGTCTTTCCTGAAAAGGACATAGCCCTCCATGACTATATTCCAGTCATGTGAGCTGTCCCACCACGTCTCTGTAATTGCCACCAGATCATAGTCTCCTGACTTAACACAGGTTTCCAACTCCTCCTGCTTATTTCCCATGCTGCGCGCATTGGTGTACAGACATTCCAGGGAGCGAGCTGAGCACACCGATTTCACCCTAGGATTATAGGAGGCCTCCCAGTCTTCATCAATTCTGGAGTGCTGCCCCACTGGGGCAAGCCCAGCTACAACCCCATCCCCCTTTCGAATCTAGTTTAAAGCTCTCCAAATGAGCCCTGCTAATTCGTGCCCCAGCATCCGTTTGCCTCTGTGAGATAAACCTTTCCCACATGCCATTGTCCAGACTGGTGCCCTGTAAAACCAGCCGTTATCAAAGAATCCAAAGCCCTGCCTGCAGCACCAGTCTCGAAGCCAATCGTTTACGAACTGAATCTTCCCATTCCTTCCCACATCATCAGTGGAAGATGGAAGGAGTGAGGAGAAGATCACTTGAGCCCCAGACTCTTTCACCATCCGCCGCAAGGCCCTGTAGTCTCTCTTCATCCCCCTCAGACTGCGGGAAGCAGCTTCCCCCTCACCTGTCTGGAAGACCAGCAGCGGGTAGTAGTCTGTCGGGTGCACCAGGTTGGGGAGCGCCCTAGTGATATCCCTGATCCGGGCTCCAGGCAGACTACACACTTCCTTATGATGAGGGTCAACTCTGCATATCGGGCCCTCTGCTCCTCTCGCCTACTACAATGACCCTTCTTTCTTTCTTATCAGAGGCAGTCTTGAGGTGCAAAGTCGACCGCCTTTTCCTATGTGGCCTTGTGGGCTGGCCTTGCCCCACATCCTCACCTACCTCTCCTTCAAGATCCAGGGCCTCAAACCTATTACGGAGGGACACCTGGGGAAGCAGGGCAGGAAGAGGGGAGGGTTTCCCACGACGCCGAACTGGAACTCGCTTCCAACCCTCGTCGTCTTTTTGGTCCCCTACCTCTGCGCAACAGCTACAGGGCAGGGGCTGTCTCAGGCCATCCCCCTCTGTGTGAGAAGGCAGGGGGTCCTTCCCCTTTCGGGGGTATCTCCCTGGAACCGTTCTGACTGGCACGCCAGGGAGTTACTCCACCAGTCGATCTCCCTTTCGCACTCCCTGATGGTCCTCAGCGTCTCAACCTCCTCCTTAAGTCTTGCCACCAGGCTAAGCAGGTCTTCTACCTGCTCACACCTCACGCAGGTCGAACGCTGTCCTCCCTCCCCCGGCAGCAGCAGGCTCTGGCACTCCCTGCATCCAGTGACCTGAACAGCCACGGTTTGGGACGGGGTCTCTGTCTGAGTTGCTGCAGTCACCTTACTGCAAGCTCTCTTTCTGGAGGCGACCATATTGGTCGGCAGTCTGGGACACCAGCAACAGGGTCAGCAACACGACCGGCTTGTTCCTCCCTGCCGCTGGCGGGCAGTGACACGGCGCTGCCCTCTCAGAGGCTCCTTCAAGGCAAGCGGCAGGGGGGTGGTCACCGTCACCGTGGGAACGCCCCCCGCCACGTCAGCCTCTCTCTCGCAAGGGCTGCTGTGGCTTCGGGGGTCGGGAGATGTGGGGAGCCGCGATGTCTCTGCGCTGTCGCCTCTGGTTTTCCTCATCTCCGCTGACCCTCGCTGTCACTGAAGCGTGCCGGCTGCGGCTCTAGCTGGGCTAGCTCCGATCAGCTGACTGAATTGTATCATGGTGCATTCTCTCTTTCCAGAAGGCTGTGGTTTACAGCCTTTCTGAGGCGGAATTCATGTCTTCATCTCTATTAAATTAGTCACTGGTGGCTTTTCATGAATGTAGAAATAGCGATTTAAGCTTCTGTAACGACATCCTGTGACCACACACTTTGTAATTCAATGACATGTTCTGTCAAAGCACTTTAGTTTTAAGTCTTGAGCCTGCTTATTTAAATCAAACCTTTCTTAACTGAGTGGCATATATTGTTTTCCTGAAGTAACTATTTTCTTCATTCAATGCATAGAGGAAGCTCAAATCATACAGTTCTCCCGCAATTACAGTGAACTAGAGTGGTTCCCTCCCTGTGAGGAGCAGGGAGTTCGACTCAATGGTCCTTATGAGTCCTTTCCAACTGGAGATATTCTGTGATTCTAAGAACAGATTATTTCTCTTAGCCTTCATCTGATCTAACAGTGGTTTCTGGCTGCCAAAGAGCAAACCTTCCCTGCGTTACTTCAATACAATATACCCTTGCTGTCCTGCAGAGTGTTGCAAAATTTTAGCTTTTGGGTATGGTCACTAAAAATATATTTTGGTACCATATATGACTAATGCCATAAGAATTAACCATGTACTTTTTAGGTTCATTTTGCTCAATTCAGGAATCTAAACAAAACTAATACAATTATTACACAGGGTAAGAAGTATTTCTCTTCATTGCTGAAAAATAAAAAATGCTTTTTGCTGACATAAGGGACCATCCAATATCCCAGAACTGTTTTAGTATGGCATCATACTGAAAATGTGTTGGCAGATGCAAAGTATACATCATGTATATAACACAGATGGAATCTTGGTGTTTCAGTTGCAAAAGGAAATCTGGCTCACATTGTAAAAGACTTGTCTGTGCTAATCACTGTATTGTTGTGTTGTATATGGTTTCAGACAGGTCTTATGTTAGCAACAAGGTTAGGTCATGACTGAATTGTACTTTTTTAAAAACAATTTATAGAATCATAGATTCATATAATAGTTAGGTCTGGAAAGGACCTTAAGATCATGAAGTTCCAACCCCCCTGCCATGGGCAGGGACACCTCACACTAAATCATATCAAGGCCTCATCCAACCTTCTCTTGAACACTGCCAGGGATGGAGCATTCACAACCTCCCTGGTCAACCTATTCCAGTGCCTCACCACCCTAACAGAAAAGAATTCCCTCCTTATATCCAATCTAAACTTCTCCTGTTTACTTTACTTAAAACTGAGACAGGGGAAGTTTAGATTGGGTATAATCTGTCAGTAGAAATAAAACATCTATTTCTGGAGCTCAAGAACTTAGACCTGTGTCTATAGTTATCTTGTGGCATATTATTGTTGTGTGTAAAGAATAAATAAGTCGTATCTGTAGCTTAACTGGACTTCCATCTGTGCAAAACAGCTGAGGCCAATTAAAGAGAATGAGGTTTTTTTGTTAAAAAATGTAGTGTCTGAGAATCCTGTCATGATTCTTCATTGCTTTGTTTTACCATTCTGCCTAGTAGTACCGAGTGCCAGGCTGCCAGCACTGTGCACATTGGTAGATACAGAGTTTTCCAATGGCCGCTTATTTTTCAAGCCACATTTCCATCTTACTCTTTTTAATGTATTCAGTTCATTGTTACCTTAATGTAAGTAATGTGAAATGATTCAAATTGAATGATTCAAATACTGCCCAGATGGGCAGTTGCAGATATTGTTAATTATGTGTAGTTCTAGGCTAAGAAGTGATGGGGAAGTATTCAGAGTGAAACTGCTGTTTTTATGTGTTAGAATGGAGGGAGGGATAAAGTATCAATTGAAATAATGTTAAACTTTTATAATCATGTAGCCAAATAAATTTGTTTTGATTCCTCCTAAAAAGCAAACCTTGCAGAAGTAGAAAGCATTGAGGCAAATTTTAAGTAGAAGATGAACTGAGTGAGGAGCACAGTCCCTGATGCTGAGCTTCACTGCCCCCAGATGAGAATCATGGGAAATATATGGATAACCCAAGGAATCTGCAAAATCAGTGCCTTTGTGTGGTTTAAATGTGCCATGAAGTGATAGGTGTAGGCCAAAAAGAAAAGCCGAAAGCCTTAAAATAGATATGCAAAATATTAACGTTGCAGAAAATACTTCTTTGTATGGTTTCAAAGTAGGTGTTCTCATAAGACTTTAGAGGGGATTTCTGTTGTCTTCCTCTAAGTGTCTATGAGCACTGAAGGGTGGAAAGAAAAGGATTGTTAACATGAAAGTTGTTTGTTGCAGTTAGTACTCTTACATTTTTAGGGCTGTGTGTTCTTCAGTTGGATGCAAAATATCAAGGGAAGGCGATGGTAGAGCACTTCAGAGAATGAAGAGAGCATCTCATGATGTTAAGTGCTTACAGGATTTAATGCATAAAGTGCATAAAGCATTTAGAAGTATGGGAGCCCTGGTGATTCTCCTAAAATGAGTTTTCTGAAGTAAAGGCTAAGAAAGACCACATGAAATGAATACATAGCATGACACCACTGAACCTTGTCTGATGAAGGAATTGTTGATTAGCTATTACTGCTATTAACTACAAGCTATTATTGTTATTAACTACAAATATAAATTTTAATTTTGACTCAAATTTCAAACTTGAAAATATGTGAAATTACAGCATTTTAATAACTTTTCTATTCCAGTTGCATTTTTTTAAGTGTTTTCTGTTTTTCTGCCTATGAAAATGCATGTTTTAAAATGTCCAGTGTTCTTTTATAATATATATGTCCTTTGCAGCTGCCTCCTACTTGATTATTCTCAGCTGATTTTTGCTGTTCTTTCAGGAAAAAATGTTATTACACTGACTGGAGGAGCAAAACGATGGGCAGGTTGGTGGGTGATGTGTAGCTTCTAATTTTACCAGATAGTCACCCTGCTAAAGAAAATCCATTCGCAGTTGTAAATTTATCAAGGAAACTTGGAAAATTAGATTATTTTCTTGAAAACTCAAAATATGTTAGCTCATAGTGTTACAATATTCATGTGTAACAAGATGCAGTACTTCAAAGCTTTGCCAGGTCTCATTTTAGAAATGCAAAAATGTTTATGCAAAAAAAAAAAATGGCCTTATCCTGGCAGGAAAGGTTTAATGCTGGAGCTCTCTCTGCAGTTCTTTCTGCTGCACCGAGAGATATTTCTTTGGCATGAAAGATCCATTTGAGTGTATGTCTCAGATTCTGGTATTCAGCTATTTCCTTAGACATGCAAACGTAACTTTGCATGTTAACACTTCATGTGTATCCTGGTGATATGGACTAAATCAACACCACACAAGAGGCTGTGTTGAGTTTAGATTTGATAGCTGTCAGAATAACTGCGGGGAAAGCTGTTTAACTCTGAGACACAGACATGCAGACCTCACCCATGACTGCTGCTGTTGCTGCTTTTGTCAGACAGGAATGGCTACAAGGGGCCACAGCAGCATGCAAAAAAGAGTCTAAGGGAGCTGGGGAGTAAAGACAGGGGGCACTGGGAACTGTAATCACTCCCTGTTGCTCTAGCCAGACATAATGATGTCTTGTAAATCCTAATTGCCTGTGGAAAAGATAGGAAAATTTTTACAGGAGGGAAATCTGAAAGTTTTTTGTCATGGGTTTTCTCAAATGGATTTTGAGCTGAGATTACAGTTGATTTTGTTCTCCTGTTGTTACTTGAGATGATGAAGATCTCTCATTATTTCTTAGGAAAAATTTAAGTAGTCTCATGATACCAGTTTGCAACATGATCAGCAAGATGATCATGTTTTTATATAACAAAAACATAAAGCACTGTTGAACGGTACGGTGACAGAACTTTAAATGCATAAGCAGATAAAATATATTGAAATAAAACAATCTGTAACTGAAATTTACAACTGCATTTTTTACTCTTCCCAGTCATTCACATGCTTGCTCCATTTTAGTGTTCATTATAAAAAATGTAAGTGATGTGCTTTGTAATGCAAGGGCAAAATCAACAAGCTTTGCTGCAAAATTGTCTCATTTTGTCTGTAATCCATCTGGTGAGTCCTAGATATTAAATAAATTTATTTTTCTTATTATGGAAGGACAGATGCCTGAAGCATGCAACTGAATTTGCACGGTACCTGTGAACTAAGTAATAAACAGTTTTCATGCCAGATTGACTTTTTTCATTTGAGACAAATACTTTTACTTGTGATTTACTTTGTTAGAATTTGGTGAATATTTTTCTGAATACTTTTTCTGTCAGTTTCTATAATACAGTGCACAAAGCAGTAGTGTGGAAAAAAATAAAGCAGCTATTTCTAAAAATGAAAGCTAATGCTAAAATTGCTGACGTGCATATCTTGAACTAGATGATCTTTAAGATCCATTCCATCCCAAACCATTCTACAATACTGTTGTTGTTTCTTTTCATCTTACAACTTTTCCAGCTTAACTCTTCTCTGTAACTCATTAAATCTCTTACTAATATTTCTGTAGAATTTGCAAGAGCCACAGCAAATAACTATTAAAATCTTTGTATATCAAAGGTAAAATTTTAAGGCTACAGATTTTCTATAATTTAATGTGAGGTAGCACTAGCGTATTAGACCCTTCTGCAACATGTACACTTCCCTGAATTTATTGATGTGGTTATATGATCTTAAATGCTCTTTAAAACTTCCACAGAAGATTTAGGGGCATGAAGGAAGAGAAGGTTAATGGAATGCTTACTGGTATAGCACTTTCCTTATATGTGATATCTCTCGATTTCTTCATTTATGTACCTTAAAAAAACCCTCAACATTGTATTTCACCCTGTAAAGCTTGAATTCTATTCAAAGGTCCGTGCTATAGAAATAATTTTATCATACTCATTAATAGCAGTATTTGGAAATCCTTCACAAATCTTTTCAAAGGAAGGTGTGAGTTGCTGGAAGTGGGGTATGCAAGTATCAAAAGTTGCCTGAACTCTCAGATTTAAGACTGAATGAACTGATCTTGTATTCACAATATCAGACACACCAATTTCATGTTGGTAAAGAATGACATTGAGGAAGACAACACGAAAAGATAGTTGTCTTAGTATGCAGCTTCACTCCACCCACTGAAATGTTGAAATAAATTAATACTTCTAAGGTTAGAGAACCAAAATTGATTTTTGTTGAGCAGCTGAGCTGCAGTAATTCTGCTTTGCACAAGGACTTTTTGAAACCTTTTGGAAACCTTTTGGATTTTAATCTGCACACTGAAGAGAAATTGTTAATATCATTCCGTTGAACAAATTGGTGATGTTTGTGTCCGTATGTTGAATCTGTCAACCATAACATGTTTCCTATTACAAAACAAGGAAACATGCCATGGCTGTGTCATTTGGTGGCATATGGTTGATGAGTCTGGAGAGGCACAAACACTGAGCAAACTACTGGGTGGGGATTGCTGTCAAAAATACCTAACATGACCAGTGGCAGTTGCTTAATTCCAGTATCTTATTCCATGAGTCTGATCAGATAATTCTGAACTCATCTGTACTGCGTTCCTTTGCATTGCAGTCTGCAGAGTAAATGTAGTCTGCAAGGATTTTTGGACTAACTAGTTCTGCAAAAAAGAACAGCCAACCATATAAAAGAGAGCTGTACAGTCAAGAATGGAAGTTAAGTAAAGCTGAAATTACACACATCTTCATAAAATGTTATATTTTATATCGAAGAATAATATGTATACATGTTTCAGAACAGCATCCCCTAGTCCAAGGTGCATAAAGCTGCAGTAGTGCCCGCTGGAGGCGTTTCAGTAAGAGCATACCTGAAGTAATAGCTCATCTTTACAGCACTGTGCCACTCAGACATTTTTGATCTCCTTGCATGTGCATGAAGTCCTGACTTTGTGACTTCAGCAGACCAGTTCTGGTTTTAACTCTTATTAAAAAGACTACATTGAATAGTTGAAGTCAATATTCTGTTTAATCTGCTACTTTTGATCTAGAAACCACTCTGAGTAAAAATGCTAATACTTAGTCCTATTATTTAGGCAAAAACTTGTCTTAAATTTGTTAACACTTTGATTGAAAGCTTTGTGAAACTTCAACTTTGAAATAATGTAAGCCAAGAAAAGAGGATTATTGTGGTATGTGGGGTGATGAACTTTGAAATATTTTATGCTATCTGAAGGCACGAAGTTTCAGAGTCCTCATCTACAAGTGATGTAATGAAAAAGCAATCACATCTTAGATAAAAGATCTTTTTGCTTCAGAAGAGAAGTAATGTAATGAGGACATAATTTTTAATTTAGTTCAGTACTGTTCTTTATTACTTTGGATGTCAAAAGGAGCAGACATGAATGTTAAACAAGAGCTAATTTCTTTAAGATAATAATTATCTACTAATTCTTTTTAGATCTTTGGAGGGAGGAAAATATCACGACACATAACCAATTTTAGAACAATTTCATAATAAAAATTTGAAATCAAATGCATTGGTTTACTGTTCTTCCTAATGTATGTGCATATTTTCCTCATTAAAGAAAAGCTTGGGGTTTGGTTCTGAAAAATATCAGCAAGCATACAACAGAAAAAAAAGAGGAAAAAATCAAATGCAAACTTTACTGATACACACCATATATAACTTTGTACTGAGAGAACTTCCACTGAAACCAATAATTAACTCACAGTATACCTTACTCAACACTTAAGGGATGCACCTGCCTGTATTCTGTGTTTTGACTTTATGAACATAGTTATGTTCTTTGGCTCATCATGCTTTGTGTCAAATAGAGTGGTGTCCCTCAAGTGCAGTATCAGTTACATACAGAGTGTGTGCCAATGCCTTGGCAATGTAGAGTGAGAAGAAAATGTTGAGAATTTAAAATGTAAAATTTGGTTTAGCTTTCTATCTGATACTGTGTCAAGCAGGAGTAGAATGTTTTTCTTTTGCTGATGTTGATAAGAAGTATGTTTTCATAGAGGTCGCTTTGCTGCCTGAGGGCAACTTACTTTGTCATTGCTTACTACTCTAATTAGGAAATGAGTAGCTGTGCTTATGCTTAGCACAGGCAGTTAAGAATTCACCTCAGATAAATCTGATCCTGAAATTTACAGGTTTTGTGGATAGGAGATAGACATGCTTTATGTATCATGCAAACTTATTATTGAGTAAGGCCCAAATCCTGCTAATAAAGTATTATTTAGGGCATGCTTTTCTAAATTTTAGAGTTTTTCTGGATCTGTAATATGTTTATAGCACTAATTTAATAGATCTACTCCTTAAATACCTGTATTTCATTGCAGTTGAATATGAAAAGAAATATAGGTAAGCAAGGAGTGCAAAATCAAAGTGATGAGGAGGTAACTTCTAGCATTTGCTGAAAATTAACTGCACTTCACTAGATTTACCCCTGTGTATCCTGAGACACTAATTTAGAAAGGTGCCAGTAGAAGAAAGCCCTTTATATCACCAGTATATAATCTAATCGGGGATGCAAGTATTATATTTTGTTTGTAGTTTATAATGTCATTTTTTTTAGAAAACTGCAGGAAGCTATACCGAGGAGTTTTGTATAGCCGTGTCTGTATAATGTATCCTTTATTTGATGTTCAGGTATCCTGTTTTGTAAGGCAATATCAGCCTGAGGAAAAATTTGCAGGGGGAAGACTTACTGAAATTAGAAAACCTTAAAAATGTGATCCTGAACTGTCTCGTATGTACTTTAAAATTTTATTAGTTTTAGTGTCCAAGTTGCTAGGCAAGGGAGGGAGGAGTTACATTTGCCTTGGCCAGTGGCTCTAAAGAAAGTAATTAAATATGTTCTTGAGTAAAGTGTAAGCATCCGCAGTTCTGAGGGACTACCATGGAAAATTATTTTGCCCAGACTCAACAGTGCAGTCCCATCTCACACCATAATCCCACTAATTTTAGGATGAGTTGTGCTTGAGTGGAGCATGCAAGTAGATCAAAACAAGCAAACAAACAAACAAACAAAACCAATAAAAAACACCAAACTGTTAAATTTGCTCCTTAGCTCCTTATTTTCTACTAGTGGCAATTTCCTGCTTTCATTTAATTTCTAGTCTTTTTGTCACTAAAATGAAATGTTGGAGATGGAAAATAACAAGCAAGTGAGAGTGTGTAAATCTGCTTTCTTTTTGTCTCAGTTTGCAGAGGAACATGAGAGAGCTGAAAAGTTGGTTGCCCAGAAATCCAATGAAGCTCGATAAGGAGGCCCTACCTGATCTGGAAGAAACAGATTGCTACACAGCCCCCTTTAGCCGTGCACGCATACACCAGTAAGTGCCAGAACTGGCAAGGCAGTGCCAGAGACTACAAGGCTTTTTTATTTTCTCACTTCATCTAAGCAAGTGCTGTAGAGGCAGCCATTAACAGATGGTCACTGGCAAACACCCACTATCATATTAGATATTTTCTGTGAGTTTTCTCTTAAAGCCAAAATCTACTCTCTTACTTGCTGTTTGATGTAACTTGATATTTGACGTTACTTGCTGTTTTAGTCACTCAGAGGTATAGACAGAAATTTGACTGACAAATGAACCCTACCTTCTTGGTTTAGTTTTTCTTTCCATTACATGACAAAATGCAAATATTTGCTCAAGTTTGCTTTGCTTAATTACATATTTTACTTAGGCAAAACCCGAGACAGCTGTTGAAATTGGGAACACCTCAAGGCAAGCTAAAACCAGGAATGATTCTTTTCTCTCAGATCTGCTTTTTAAAAATGCTTTTGTATCTGAAAGTATTAATATATATACAACAAATAAGAACTGTATGTGTTCAGATCAGCATGTGGATAGTGATGTAGTTATAAACTGTGCCATAATTTTTTTTTCAGGGCCCTTATATGTTAAAATTCTGGCTGTGTCTTCATTTTTAAAGAATTTTCTGATACTTCTTTTTTGAGAGTAAAGTTCATTTAAAGCAGAAGTGTAAATTAGACTAAAGGGGAATATTTTCTCCTCAGTAAAGAAGCTATGTGGTAGTGAACTGTCTTTTCCCTGCAAACAAAACCAGCTCAGCTGATGTTATCAACAGTAATAGTGTCGCGTTTGGCACAACGCAGGCAAAAGCTCCTGCATGTCAGATTTCTGGCATCCAGAATCCAGAGCCATCTGGGAAAGGATGCTTTATTTGGCTCCAACCTGGGACTCTTCAAGGGGAAGTGGTGTGGAGCTGCTACTCAGGTATCCAGTGCGTGGAGGTATTTTATTGGGTTTTTTTCCTAAATCATAGTTCCCGTAGTACCATGACACAGGCATCTGCCAATTCATAAGTAACTTGAATTTGAGAACAGCACTGCTTCTGGAGATCTTTGTTTAAATTAATTATATCCAGAACAGAAATTAACTAGATAGTAGAAAATTTTAGAATTTACTTTTAGTTGTTATGTTTTCCCAACCATAATCTGTGATGATGGTAAATTTAATGGACCTGAGAAGATGCTCTAAGGATGTAAAATCTTGTATCATGGCAGAGGCTTTGGAACTTTACGGTCCCTTCCAGCCTAAACCAGTCTGTGATTCTGTGGTCTTGTGCAGTAACGAAGGAGGGTAGAGATCAAATAAATCACTGTAAGAAGAAAACACTTGAGCAGCTATGTTTCAATACCTGTGCATTGTTTCGAATATTAAAAGCCATTCATTATTTAAACAGTTTTACAATAAACAACAAAGACAGCTTCTTCAGCAATTCCACAAGAAGTAGAATCGTGCATCACATGCTACAGAGAACTAAGTATGAAGATGGGAAGTCCAAAATGGGTGAGACTGCTGTATTTTCTTCCTAACCTGAAGCTATAAAAGATTCATCTTTACTTGCCTCAAAGAGTATAGAGTCAAATCAGTTGATTTTGCTACTCATTAAAATCTTTTTATTCACTCAGTAACAGAGTTGAAAGAACGTCACATCAGTTATTTTCTTGAACAATTCAGTGAAAATTGACAGTATTTTTTCACCTAATTACTCATACTTTATCATAAATTGGAGAGATGTTGATAACTTTACATAATCAAGAGCCTCAATAAAGACAAGATATACCTCAGAAACCTGTTCCATGTTTTCAAGGTCTGATCCTACTAGTTCTGATACTAACAAGCAGTTCCAGTCCAGCACAGTTAATGTAAGCTATACGTAACTTATTTGAGGTCTCCGTGTAGCTCAGAGACAGCTGATCTGAAGACTAAATTAATTTATATCAACCTTTAACAGTATTATTTTTTGGAAGCTCATTTTCATTTACAATGAACAGGGGATGTATATGTGATTTGCTGTTTTCTTTTCAGGACTTAATTTAAGAATTAAATAGAGACATACTAAAATCTTATATTTTTGAAGGTGATAGAAATTATAGAAATCTGTTGCTTGAGTTTCTGAAGAAAAGCAGTAGCAAGAAAACCATAGAAAACAAGGGTCAAATATAACGCCCTTCAAGCTGATGAACGCAAATTTCAGTATGAGATTAGCTTTGCATAATTTGTATGTTTGAATGGACAAATCTGAAATCTGTCATAAGTACTAATTTCTGGGGAACCTCTTGGCTACAGACATGCTTTGCAAGTTACCAGATCTTTTTATTACCATTATTCATTGTTGTGTATTCTTTGATAGTACAATAGATCTGGTTTTAGGAAGACTGTAGGAACTGATCCAGAATGCTGTAGCCACTATGATGCAGAGCTCTGCTCTGATACAAAGTTCTTCAGCTGTCTTCTACTTAAAAATAACAGGTTAGCTTTTAACCCTGCAGGGGGTGTGCTGCCTCAAGGGTTGTCTGTCCCATACCATTCTCTGTGTATGTCACCCATAAAATCCATATCATATGCTCTGATGAATGCAACCTGAATATAACTGCCTTCTCGGACATGATCCGGCACAAGCATGTGACCCCGAGAGAAAAGTTGGAGATACTGGCCATCAGAAAGCTCTTGTAATTTGGCAGAGCCAGAAATCTTGGAGGATTTGCGTAAACAGTTGATGGGATTATTGATTATTGACATGTTTGGCAGCATCCTAAGCATCTAATATTAAGTTACATTCTCAATATCTAACTTGGAAATTTATTTGCTTGAAATTGTTATAAAAAATTGACATAGAAACTAATGCTTTTTTTTCTTTTTAGGTATTAATAGGTTACTGAATAATGGAACATATGAAGCAGCATTTCCACCCCATGAGGTAACTTGGTTAATTTTGTATCTAGATTAAAACTTGCACTGGCAGTTTCAGATCTTTAATTTTGTCATGCAAACGTTTAATGTCACTGCATAATCTGTTGCAACTCTTTTTATTCATAGCTCTTATTTTAATATTTGCTTTTAAAGTTCCTCTTATACAATGTATTAGAATAACTTCCTGGAATATTTTCTTGCTGAAATAGAATGTTATACTTCTTTTTTATTTGTATGAATTGGACATTGCTTGTGGAGTTCTTAATGAAAATATCATTTGTTCCAAATTGCTACATTTAATTGTATTGAATTATTTTTGCCTGCCACCTACAAAATGTTCTGTTTTTCTAATGGGTTGTGCACTTCATCACAGCTAGGGAGACTGGTTAATTATTTCCCATTTAGTCTTTTCTGAATAGTTCCGGACAGCTTCTATTTGGCAGTATCTTTTTCAGTAGGTTAAAGTCTACTGAAGACTGTAAACCCGTGAAGTAAATGAAAAACCTGTGTTTGATTTCAGAGGGTTTTCACACAGTCTTCGTGTATTGAAAAGAAAGAAGCAAGCCACACATCTTCAGGCATTTTAAATGCTGATCAGTAACATGGTAACTGCGGGTTAGTCTGTGATCTCTGGGATTGCTCAGACTGAATGTTGTGGCTTGGTCTTGTGTTTCAAAGAACTGACCTGCGCTTTACAAATTGCTGAGAGAATTTTTTTTTATAGCATTAATAATTAAATACTGGGGATATAGAGGAGTATTTTAGATAAATAATTAAACATCCTTGTTAATGCTCCAGCTGTGCATTACTGACTTCAGGGAAAAGCTGGCTGTAATACCAGAAAAACCTGTGAAGCTTTCTCTGGCTGTCAAAACTGTGCTATCATATCCATTTTACATATATGTTCCTTTGTATGGCTACTGTTTCAAAGTTTCAGCTAAGGTTAATGAAGTCATATTTTTAAGCCGCTCTTACTTTAATTTCTGCTTGACTGGTACTAAGGGCTAGTAGTTGGAGCACTTTCAATTTTATTTTTATTTTTTCTTTTATCACACAAGGAAATAAGAATGAAAATTCAGTCCCAGTGGGAATGCTGAGACTTGAACTCTGTTAGGCGTAAACAGTGCTGAAAGGAGCAGGGGAAGGGGAAAGATTTTAAAATATTCCTTTATGCTTTGCAGTCATTCATACAGGTGTCTGTGAAAATCAGTTGGTGTTCTGTTTCTAGGTAGGTGACTATGAGCATAAGTTGATGATCTTTTTCTGGGTGTTCCTAGACGTTGTGGCAGTCACACTCTGTGTTGTTATATTTGGTGCATGTCTTTGCTAACTGTAGTGAGAAATGTGTAGAATTGGACTTCTGGCGATGTTTAGCTTTGGTTTTAACTCATTTTTAAACCAGAGGGTTAGCAGATTGCAACAGGTAAATAGTGTACTTTCAATGAAGAATGCTTGAAATTTCAAGCAAATTATAAAAATCTAAGCGGCTTCATTACATGGATCTCCTAGGGTCTGTCTGACTGCTTACTCTGAAGTACTGTGCTGGGTAGCAATGCTCCCTCCCAGTAAATGATTTGGCTCACTTGCAGTTATTGGAGGATAGCTTTTCTTTACCGTAACAGAGTGCTGAGGTCTTTTGGGGGTAAAAAGTTCAACTTCAAGGGGTTGTCCTGTTTCAGAATTGGAGGAAAATTACAAATCCAAGAGGTCCTGCTTAGGTTGTTCTGGCAAACCTGTGTTTACCTCTCAACTGCTGAGCATGAGTCTATTCTTTCAGGCTGTCGGTGAGTCTGTAAATGTTGGGCTTGGCCTGGAAGGACTCCTTTTGGGTCAGACCAATCCTGGGTTTTACTTTTGATGCTTCTGAGATTCCTACATAGCTCCAGAATAATGCCAGTTCAGGTTTTTCCATCGTCTTAGAAAATGTGTGCCACAGAAAGACATGTTTATCTGTGCTGCTAAACAGGAGTTAAATAAAGTAATAGAAAATGCCTAGGAGAGGAGAAGTGAGTTGACATAATAGAAATTTCTGAAATTCTGTAGGAGAGAAAAAAAAAACGTGCATATATCCCATGAAAAATTTAGACAAATTGAAATAGGTGAAAGCATACAAATAATCATGGATTAGCGAAACAGAAACACTGTGCTTGAAGCCGTATAAAGAGTTGAGTAGTTCTTTATAGCCTTCTATTACTATGGTTCTGCCATAAATTCTTTGAGAAACTGGCCATTTCAGAAGCATATGTAACCATGTCTCTTCTGTCAGGCCTGTTACTTCCAGGTGACATGTCTTGGAGATGTCCTTAATAAGAGACCTATTTATTAAAAACATTTAATATTATACTCAAAAAAAAGAAGAAATTTTAGGTGTATTCCATAGTGCCTAGTAATGTACTTCATTTCTGTGTGTTTTCCAGGGAAGCCACAAGAGCAGACATCCCATCAAAACACACGGAGCTCAGAATCACAGGCACCTCTTATATGAGCGTTGGGCACGGTGGGGAATGTGGTACAAATACCAACCTCTTGATTTAATCAGGTATTAGTACTTGGAAGAGTAGCTTGCTTCTATGATACAACCTAGTAACAATGTGGTAATGGTACTGCTAAACTCCTTGTGCTTTCCTGTAGCTTTTAATTTCAAATAAGGCTGTATAAAAGGCATGTAGGTCCAGCTGCTTGACAGTTCTGAGCATGAAACTTAAAATACAAGCCAGACAAAATATTGTCTGCTGACCAGAGACACTTAGCACCTTGGAGAGGAAAGATGCCTATCCACATGAACAGTCAGTTGCCAGATCAGGTGGTTTGAAAACACAACCTACTTATTATGTTTTCATGGTGTTTAAATAAACTTCTGTAGATTTGTCTTCTAATTAATGTCATGGATTACCACATGTACAGCAGAGAAATATATGTAACAGGTTAAATAATTGTGATGTTTGGATTTTGTACTTTCCTCATCTTTGACACTGAATACCAATAAGTCATTTTCCCTTGCTGTCAGATTTATTCCTGATCTGACAGTCCTAATCAGTCAGTGTTCTACTGAAGGCTGTGGAGCTAAGCCTGTGCCATGGGACAATTCTGTACTGATCCAATAGTATCCTTGACTGACTTTCTGGTCACTGCTACTTCATCTCTTAATGCAACAATATCCAAGTTTTGAAGAATTAAAACTCAGTCTTCAACTTCTGTTTTCAGTCCATTGTTTTCTCTAGTAATAGTGTGAAATATGTCATATTACATGATTCTCTGTCAGAAATACTTTTTATAATTGAATACTTACGTCATACATACTTACTTCATCCCTTCCCAAAAATTTTTGTGTATGTTTATCTGTCTCCGTGTGTGCAAGTGAAATGTCCTACATTTAATAATGTTGAAACTAGTACATCTACGTGGTCATTGCAAGGATGTGAAAATTACAGATGAGTTATATCTTTTATAAAACACATGTTTTGGTAAGTCTACAGTTAGTGTCACTAGAATGTAATACTGGCCTGAAATGATTTAGTGTGAGGTGTCCCTGCCCATGGCAGGGGGGGTTGGAACTTGATGATCTTAAGGTCCTTTCCAACCCTAACTATTCTATGATTCTAAAAAGAACATTCTGGTAAACTGACAATAATTTTACCATAAACTTGTGTTGCTTGTTCCTCGTTAGAATCATTCTGCTACTGTAGAGTAGACAGCAGTCATTGTAAGCTTTAACTTTAAGTAATCTGTGCGTTTCCTTTTCATGTAGGCGATATTTTGGTGAAAAAATTGGACTGTATTTTGCCTGGCTGGGATGGTATACTGGAATGCTTATTCCTGCTGCCCTGGTTGGGCTCTTTGTTTTCCTCTATGGACTATTTACAATGGATTCCAGCCAAGTAAGGTAAAATTCTATTTCATAACACATACTAGCCTGCTGAAAATTAAGAACATCAGGCACAACTTAGATCATTATACTTTTAAATGTTTTCCAGATATGGTAATCATGTACAAATAGCCAAATAGAGCTCTGGGTTCTTCAGGCAAGTGTATCCACTTGTATATCTGGTTTGCATACAAGTTTTGTATGTGTGCCATTTAAAAGTGTTCTTACCACTGCATCTGCAGTGGTTCCTATTCTGCCTGTAAGGAAAAATGGCAAGTACCAACTTTAATGTTGTAGTACTGAAGTGGTTGTCATTCTAGTCAGTGAATGAAATGGTTGAACATATGGATGATCAGACATACTCCCTCTTTACAGTATAAACTGCAGTCAGGAGACCCAGCTTCAGGGAGATTACAGCCTTATGAAATGAACCTAGTTTTCCAAGTTTTCCACTGTTGTGATTTTGCTCTAAGAGAGATTTATGTCCGTTTAGATACCGCGATGAGGATGCTTGAGTTAGTTCCCGGCTGTATTTTTAGGAACTATTTCAGAGGTTGCACCATCATTACAAAGTTTTCCAATAGATGTCATCAGACACAAGAGTTATCAGTGATTTACAGTTGCAGCTGTTGCTTCAAGCAGGTTGGGTGCTTAGGCTGTGAGTAAACTTGGAGTCAGATTTTATAGGAAGTATCATTTCTTCAGCTTTGAGCAGGACTAATTTAAGTTTTCTTGATGGAATTGTCTTTATCTTATATTTCACAGTGAGTTATTATATTCTACAGTGCTGTAAGGCTTTTGTAGGCTTTCTTTTGTACAGCTAACTCCCAAGAGACTTTACAACTTCAAAGTGCATTAAATGCAATTAAATTCAATAAGTGTATCATCCAGGAAACTATGCTGTCTTTAAGGTATTGTTCTCTGTATTAGGATTGTTTTGAAAAATAAATGTCCATAAAATGCAGCAGTCATCAGAGCATCAGCTTGTTCTTAGAGCACAGCAACTAGAGCTGTTGAATTGGGAATCTTGTGTTAACACGTGCAATGGCACAGTTTCAGCTCAGGGGGAACAAGGAGCAATAATCTGCTGTTCTCAGGGTATGGCTTAGTATTTTAGGCACTTCTCATGGAAGAGAAAGATGTGGCGTTGACACCCCCCAGGAGGAAGAACAAGATTTCTAAGAAATTTTTTTTTTTTGAGCTGTATAGCTATTTTGTGCTTATATCACATGCTTCTCCTGAGAAGACTCCTGCTTAGTTCTTTTAAACAGGAAAGATACAGTTATCTTGCTTGCTGAATGGTGCAGGGTATAAATGACAGGAGCTCAGTGGTAAGGTAGGTTTCATGTTTCCCTGTCCTGAGTTTTTGCTCTTGGCTGCTGCTGAGTAGCAGCAGATTTTAGTTGGCTCCCTGTGGAGGTTGGTTGTGTTGGGTCCCATCCTGAGGTTCTTCAGTATCATGCTGTGCTATACAGACCACCGAGGTGCCCATCAGGGACTCTGGACTCTGTTCCAGAAGCAAAAGCCTGTTTTTAGGTGATCCACCATGTAAATTCTAGATGCCTGCAAGGGGAGGGGAATATTTCTACATTTATTATAGCTAGCATTAGCCAGTGTTCATTTCAGAATACTGACAGAGAGTGGGTTAATGCAGAAGCCCTAGCTGTGTTTTCTGTGTAAGCCTCACATCTGTAATCTGGATGTGTTAATTCTGGGCAGAAGGTCCTCTCTGACTTTGATGGTGGGAATCTGTGCATGCCCTCTGGTTAGTCACAATACAGTATTGACACATCAGTGCAATGCTAAATCAAGATGGTAAGGCCTGCTGTGAGATGTGGGTTTGAGAACAGAGTTTTACAAACTGAAGCTGATTGTAACTTGCCTGATAAAATGCGTATAGATGTTTTTCTGTATCACTTTGTGTACGTAGGCAGTTCATTCTAAAGGCCAGTGATAACAGATGCTGCTCCTTGCCATCTTTGCCTACTTAGCCTGGAGGTTCAACAAGGAACCTCCTACTTAGAGCAGACAGGAGTCATCTATTAGCAGGCAGACACACTGTACAACCTAAATGTTCTTGTTCTTGCCATATTCTGAGACTGTGAGATTATTTATCTGGTGTTTCTGCAGTCATTTAAAGAAAACTGCTAGATAAACATCTCTAACAGTTTTAAAAACTATCATTTGATTTTGAGCACTGCAGCTCCTGCAGTATGCAAATGCAGTATGCAGCAGCCATCAGGAGGAGATGGAGTTGGATACGTTATGCTGACAAAATCTAGGTGCAGGAAACCCAGTGGCAATTCGGAATTTAAACTTAGTGCTAGGGCATTATGGCAGAGTCATAACTGCCACATTGCCCCAGATTTCAGTATTACTCAGTGTAACGCTATTTCATGTGAAACAGGTTTCATCCTGATAACACCTGTTATTAGAAATCAAGGGATGTTAGGAAGCATTGATGTACAATACAGTAATTTCTGTCTAAAAAGCCTATTTTTCATCTGTCTTGTGTACCACAAAACTTGAATTTGGTGACTGATAAAATCAGTTAAGCAGAAGCGTGCTTTCCTTAGCAATGTCCCTCCCTGTCTTAGACACAGGGAGCTGCCCTGACCCACCCCACCCCTGAATGGCTGCAGGTAGAAAACTATTGTTTTGTTCTTTCTCCACTGTGGTCCAGCAATTTCAGCAGAAAAGGAATAAGCAAATAGATAAGCACACATTGCTGTAGAAGCAGACGTTGCTTACAATGCGAGCTGGAGGTTTTGTGCAGCAATAATTCAAGGGATATGCAGAATGATGGCGCTAGTTTGTCTTGGTTTATGATTTGCTTGCCTCTGCTGTATGCTTGGGGTCTGTCATGATACCAGGTGGCTCTTTTTATGTACATTTGAATATATTTTTCTATATCTACCTATATATGTATGTATCTATATAGATATATATGTACACACACACATATATAATCAGCCTGTGCCAAGACTGCATCTCAGCCCCCCAGCACAGAGCTGTCAGTCCTTGCCCCCTGTGTAAAGGGAAGCTAGCTACTCTATATAGTTTATCTGTGTGTGCCACGGGCAAGTTGGAAATGGTGCATATTTACTCCCTTTTGGTGGTACCCTTCCTTCTTTCCCATGGCAGGTGCCCCTCTCACACTGCCTTTTCTTCCTTCTCATAGTTTCTCTCCTTTCCTGAGTTACAGTTTCAGGGAAACAATAAACTTTCAGATCTGATGACATCATTCAATGTTTCTCATGCCTTGTACAGGGAGAGGGAAGTTAAATAAGATGAGGAGACAAAAACCCTGCAGGCATACTGTGATACCAGGGACTAGACACTATTATAAGAAGAAAGACATGCATGTCCCATGTTTAGAAAACATAAGTCTCCCCATTCCACACAGCTAGGGACATTTTTCTTTCCTGTCACAGAACGAGATGGGCAGTGTTACTGAAAGTATGTTGAAATGGAAGATGTTCTTTTTGTCGCATGGGCTTGCAATGCAGTGTGGTAGTACTGTGGTTGCCAGGGGCTGGCACTCAGGTCCCCCAGGGTAATGAGGTTATAGCATTGGCAGCTTATTGCAGGATTCAGTTGTGAGATGAAGGTAACCTAGAGAAAATCCAGAGAATCTGTGTTGAAGAAACTCCGTAATAGATTCCAGAGTGTTTGGATTATATTCATAAGGCTCAGATATGCAGAAACAAAAATGAGTAACATGAATTCGTATTTCTTGTTCTATACACTTTTAAATATATTTTGATCCTTTTGCCCTCCCTGAGCTAAACCGTGGGAAATGTGAAGTGGTGGGCAAATGGAAGGACTTTAATAGCCCTAAAACCATCCCTTCATTAGGCTTCTTTACTTTCAACAAATTATGTGCCAGATATACGACCTATCTTTATTCTCAAGTTAGATATCAAGCTATTGCATAGAATCCTATAATGGTTTGGGTTGGAAAGGGCCTAAAGATGATCTAGTTCCAGGGGCAGGGACACCTTCCTCTAGACCAGGTTGCTCAAAGCCCCATCCAGCCTGGCCTTGAACGCTGCCAGGGATGGGGCATTGGTATATAGAAAATTAATCTGATGGTTTTTTAAGAGTTTGGTTTTGATGTGTTATGCATATCATTAATTATCACTGCTGCGAGTTGTCCTTTTGCAGTCAGTCAAACAGAAAGCCCAGGCATGAGCACAGCATAGCTTGAGGTATCTTTGCACCATGTGCTGTAGTCAGATTGCAGATAGTACAGTCAGAGTGCGGACAGTACAAAGCAGCTTATTTAGCTTTGTTACACTAAAGATTTGAGTTGCAGTAACTGTTAACATAGCACCTGCCGCAAGCACTTGCATAACAAATGTTTCTCCCTTTGCAGAGTAGAGCCAAAGCATGTGATTTACGCTGTCAGTATAATTCTGTGAAACTTAATATAATCTTAAAAACAAATCAAGATTTTAACTGAAGATATATAATACAGAAAATCTAACATTTACAGTGTTGAATTTAAATTCAAAGTGCAGTACTATTTGGCCTTATATTTGACAACAGTTTGCACTACTGCCAAACCATTATGACATATTGTTGAAATATGATTTTCTGTGCTTAATCATTTGAATGAAAATGCAAGCAAGAAAATTTTCTGATGTGACACACTGCAAGATTTTTGTTACTCTGTAGCACTGGAATGATTGGCTTTGCTCATTCTTGCTTGAGGGCTACTGAGGACAATTTCTTTGTCAGGTCCATGTTATGTTGTAGGATTTCAGTAAATTAGTGATTCTGATGGTATGTGAAGCATGGCTGAAGATTACAGAAGTGTTATCTATATTTACTGTTATGTCAGACAGGATTTAATGGATGCACTTATTTGGAAATAAGTATGATCTTCCATACAGTGTTAGAACTGTAAAATTGGGTTTCATGAGTAGGAAAGTGAACGCAGTATGCTTATTAAAACAAATTAATAGGGATTTCCTGGCATGTTTTTCATACTGCTATTTTCTTAGTGTGTCGTAGGATCATTTCAGGCATCATTTCATTGCAAAAGGATAGGGAAAGGCAATTGCTGAGGATCTTCGGGAAGCTCATTCACTGCAGTTAGAATTCACCTTAAAATTTATTTTTGCACTTCTGTTAATTCTGTTTTGCCTTGTCAAGACAATTATGTACTAACTTTTAAATGTGAACAGGTTTTTTTTGTCTCACAGAGGCAAAAGGATACTGGGGCACGAATTAGCAGGGCTCATTTGGAGAGCTTTAAACTAGATTCGAAGGGGGATGGGGTTGTTGCTGGGCTTGCCCCAGTGGGGCAGCGCTCCAGAATTAATGAAGACTGGGAGGCCTCCTATAATCCTAGGGTGAAATCGGTGTGCTCAGCTCGCTCCCTGAAATGTCTGTACACCAATGCGCGCAGCATGGGAAATAAACAGGAGGAGTTGGAAACCTGTGTTAAGTCAGGAGACTATGATCTGGTGGCAATTACAGAGACTTGGTGGGACAGCTCACATGACTGGAATATAGTCATGGAGGGCTATGTCCTTTTTAGGAAAGACAGGCCAGCCAGGAAGGGTGGTGGGGTTGCTCTTTATGTGCGGGAGGAACTACAATGCACCGAGTTCTGTCCAGGGACAGATGACGAGCGAGTTGAGAGTCTGTGGGTGAGAATTAAGGGGCAGGCTGGCAGGGGGGATACTGTTGTAGGTGTCTGTTACAGACCCCCAGATCAGGGTGAGGAAGTTGACGAGGCCTTCTACAGGCAGCTGAGAGAGGCCTCACAGTCACAGGCCGTGGTCGTCGTGGGGGATTTTAACTTCCCTGATGTTTGCTGGAAGGACCACTCGGCAACCCAGCCGCAGTCCAGGAGGTTCCTCCAGTGTGTGGATGATAACTTCCTCCTGCAAATGGTGGATGAGCCGACCAGGAGAGGAGCGCTGCTGGATCTCATCCTCACTAACAAGGAGGGTCTGGTTGAAGCAGTAAGGGTAGAGGGCTGCCTTGGTTGCAGCGACCACGAGATGGTGAAGTTCAGGATCTTGTGTGGTAGGACTAGTAGAATAGCAAGTAGAATTGCAACCCTGGACTTTAGCAGGGCAAACTTTGGCCTTTTCAAGCAATTGCTAGGGGAAATCCCATGGGCAAGGCTGCTTGAAGGAAAAGGGGCCCAAGATAGTTGGTTGACATTCAAGGACTGCTTTTTCCGTGCTCAAGATCGGAGCATCCCGACACGTAGGAAGTCAAGGAAGAGGGCCAAGAGACCTGTGTGGCTAAATAGGGAATTGCTGGGTATGCTCAAGTGGAAGAGGAGAGTTTACAGGTCATGGAAGGAGGGGCTGGCCACTTGGGAGGAATATAAGGCTGCTGCTAGGGGATGTCGGAAGGCAGCTAGGAGGACTAAGGCTTCCTTAGAATTAAACCTGGCAAGAAGGGTCAAGGACAGCAAAAAGAGCTTTTTCAAGTACATGGCAGACAAAACTAACACCAGAGGCAATGTAGGCCCACTGATGAACGGGATGGGTGCCCTGGTGACAGAAGATGCAGAGATGGCAGAGTTACTGAATGCCTTCTTTGTCTCTGTCTACTCTGCTGCAGGCAGTCCTGAAGAGCCCTATACCCCTGAGACCTTAGATGGAGTCAGGTCGACGGAGCGACTTGCCTTAGTCGATGAGGAATGGGTTAGAGATCAGTTGAGCAATCTGGACGTCCATAAATCCATGGGTCCAGATGGGATGCACCCGCGGGTGCTGAGGGAACTGGCGGAAGTCATTGCTAGACCACTCGCCATCATCTTTACCAAGTCCTGGGAAACGGGAGAGGTGCCTGAGGACTGGAGGAAGGCAAATGTCACTCCGGTCTTCAAAAAGGGCAAGAAGGAGGACCCGGGTAACTATAGACCGGTCAGCCTCACCTCCATCCCTGGGAAAGTGATGGAACACCTTGTCCTTGGTGCCATCTTAAAGCATATCAAGGATAAGAGGGTTATGAGGGGCAGTCAACATGGCTTCACCAGGGGGAAATCATGTTTGACCAATCTCTTAGCCTTTTATGAGGAAATAACACGGTGGATGGATGATGGCAGAGCGGTGGATGTGGTCTACCTTGACTTCAGCAAAGCCTTTGACACAGTCTCCCACAGCATCCTCACAGCTAAATTGAGGAAGTGTGGACTGGATGACCAGGTAGTGAGGTGGACTGCGAACTGGCTGAAGGAGAGAAGCCAGAGAGTTGTAGTCTATGGGGCTGAGTCTAGTTGGAGGCCTGTAACTAGTGGAGTGCCTCAAGGGTCAGTATTGGGACCAGTATTATTTAATATATTCATCAATGATTTAGATGAGGGAATTGAGTGTACTATCAGCAAGTTTGCTGATGACACTAAGCTGGGAGGAGTGGCTGACACGCCAGAAGGCTGTGCTGCCATCCAGCGAGACCTGGACAGGCTGGAGAGTTGGGCAGGGAATAACTTGATGAAATATAACAAGGGAAAGTGTAGAGTCCTGCATCTGGGCAGGAACAACCCCAGGTTCCAGTATAGGTTGGGGAACGACCTGCTAGAGAGCAGTGTAGGGGAGAGGGACCTGGGGGTCCTAGTGGACGACAGGATGACCATGAGCCAACACTGTGCCCTCGTGGCTAAGAAGGCCAATGGCATCCTGGGATGTATTAGAAGGGCGGTGGTTAGTAGGTCGAGAGAGGTCCTCCTTCCCCTCTACTCTGCCCTGCTGAGACCCCATCTGGAATATTGTGTCCAGTTCTGGGCCCCTCAGTTCAAGAAGGACAGGGAGCTGCTGGAGAGAGTCCAGCGCAGGGCAACCAAGATGATTAAGGGAGTGGAGCATCTCCCTTATGAGGAAAGACTGAGGGAGCTGGGTCTTTATAGTTTAGAGAAGAGGAGACTGAGGGGTGACCTTATAAGCGTCTATAAATATATAAAGGGGGAGTGTCACGAGGATGGAGCCAGGCTCTACTCAGTGGCAAACAATGATAGGACAAGGGGTAATGGGTGCAAACTGGAACACAAGAGGTTCCACTTAAACTTGAGAAGGAACTTCTTCTCAGTGAGGGTGACGGAACACTGGAACAGGCTGCCCAGGGAGGTTGTGGAGTCTCCTTCCCTGGAGACATTCAAAGCCCGCCTGGACACATTCCTGTGTAACGTTATCTAGGTGTTCCTGCTCTGGCAGGGGGATTGGACTAGATGATCTTTTGAGGTCCCTTCCAATCTCCAGCATACTGTGATACTGTGATACAGTCCCAGTGAAGACAGTGACTTCATAAATCTTAGGATCTTTAAACGTCAGTATGTGGCTTGAAGGTATTTTCACCTAAAATAGTGTATCAAAGTGCAGGGCTTTTTCATAAGCTCTGTACATTATGTAGGAAATAAGAATGCAAAGACTTCAAATATGACTGCCAGAAATTCCTTTGAGTTTGTTTTGACATTTAAGTGGTCATCTATGTGTGCATGTGATCATTCTGTGGAGCAGACCTTCAGCTGCTGTAAACTGGGATAAGTTGATGAAATCAGTGTAGTTAGACCAGTTAGTCCATCCTCTTAATGTTTGGTACCTTCTGCATTGCTTAGATGCCAAACATTTACTCTTAATTTATTTTATTGAGCCAGTTTTATAGGGTAGGCAAATCTGTGTTAACAAATGGAGACCACAAACAGCATAACCTCAGAAAATCTGAAGATGCTAAAAGCTTTTTTATAACCTTTATTTTCCTGTCTCATACTCAAGCAAAGAGATCTGCGAGGCAAATGAGACCATCATGTGCCCTATGTGTGAACGCAATTGCACACTACAAAAACTCAATGAAAGCTGCATATATGCCAAGGTAATTGTATCTGCCATCAAGATATTTCTTGTCTAAAGATCCTCTTTGTGTAATGCCTGCCCTTGCTCCCGCAAAAATTCCTGCAACACGTTTTTTCTCTACAGAGGGTTTTTTTCATCCATTGTCATTCACGTTTCTAATACGGGAATGCTCTGAAATGATCCAAGATTATACTAGAACTTGTTCTATTTTCTGTGACCATTTCCTTCTTAAATCCTTATTTTCATCAACTCATAAAGTCCCCTGAGTAATAACTTTTTTTGGAAGGTTTTTCCTACTTTCATAGAATCATAGAATCATAGAATCATAGAATCGTTAGGGTTGGAAAGGACCTTAAGATCATCTAGTTCCAACCCCCCTGCCGTGGGCAGGGACACCTTACGCTAAATCATATCACTCCACTCTAATTAAATTCTTAGTTTCCCTTGCTCACTTAGTAGTTGACTTTCTGCTCCTATAAGGAATGCTCTAGCATAATGTGCCTGTTATGTGCTTTACCCTGTCAAACTAATGCAAAGATTTACACAGCTACATATTTTGCTACAAGAATCTATCCTTCAAATTTAAGTAATCCTAAGTATATGTGCAGTGTTTTCAAGTGAGCAATATATTTTATGTGTGGTATGTTCATAATGCAGGAAGAGCAGCTTTGGCATTTTTCTTGGAATTCTTTAGCCCATAAGATAAATTTTGCTGAAAAGCCTGCGTTTGTAAAATGTATTTGTCTCTGGGCATGTCATTACAACACTGCAGCAGTATGAAAGAGAAAATCAATTTTGTGTTAGATTTCAAAATTTCATATTAGCTATGAATAGGACCAGTGTTGAATAAAAGTCAAATTTCACATCTGTCTGAAGAACATATGGCATTTATTAAAAATTATTTCTATTTAGATTTTACTAATTTAGTTTTTTATGACACGAAAATGAAGAAATTAAAATTTTATTTGCAACAGCAGCAGTAAATACCATTGAAAAATTTATATATTTGATGCAAAACTGTTTTTTAAGTTCTCTAATGCAGAAAATGGTTCCATAAATTTTTTTGTGACTATTTTTTACTAATTTTTATTTTAAGATGTGTACTGAAGGTAAGAGCTTTCTTAATTGAAATAACATTATGTATTCCCTACAACTCGTCACAGAAATGGTTTTTTTGGAAGTTAAGTGCCTTTAAGTCCACTGCAGTTCAATGGGAAATTAATACATGTGGCATCCCTCTAATTTCAGGTCCTGCTATTTTACCATCCCCAGTTAGAAGCATGGCATCATGTGCTTCAATCATGCAGATTTCACATTTAATGTCATATTGTGAATAATTCATTGCAGCAGAAAAAATTTAGCAGTCCATCCATACTTCAGTGTATTTTCAAACCAGTCCCCTTGAAAGAATCTCAGATGACTACCAGGGAAGACAAGTAATAACCACTCATATTCAATCTTTGCATGCACTCTTCTCTGAGGTCTGCAAAGATTATGGAAAACCATGTCAGCTCCATACTTTTCCTGCCTGTGTTTTTGCCCTGAAAAACCGGTCAACCTTAGATAGATTGGAACACATAAAACAACCACAAATTTTCTCTTTTTAGGATTTGACTGTTGAATAGGATTACCATCTGGCCACTCAAATGGCAAAGAGAAAGACAAAAATAAAAAGGTTCAGGAAGGCTTTTTATAGCTCTAAGATTGTAAGTGTAATGCCTTCACTCACTGTGTTTTCTTGAAAGAAGAGCTCACTGCAGCTTCACTTTTTACCTTCTTCCTAGGAAATGTCTGGTCTCCAGCAGGGATTGTGATCCTGATGGTTGCCACTGTGTTGCTTAAGTTGAAGAGCTAATACCCAAAACATGTGTCAGCACTTCCCCTGTGTTTGCACCCAAATTAGTGAATGCGAACAGTCTGTAATGTTAGAAAACTACAATCTGATTTCAAATCAAATGGTACTTTGTATGTTCTGAAACACTGTTAGTAATATAAGTAGAACTAATGTATTTAAAAATAAGGAATTGTTATCTGCTGTCTAGGAAAAGAAAGTGTCATTTCCTGCCTGTTTTCTTTTCCCGAGATGGAGTTTGTTGGCCTTTCCTTCTGTTTTGTTTTTTTTTTTTTTTTGTCGTGGGAACATATTTCTCTGTGTTCCTTCCATACAATCAAAGAGCTGGTGTGCCAGGGGAGCTATTCCTGGTTCATTCCATGCACCCACACCCTTATTCTGCAGTAAGTGTTTTAATCCTTATTCATTCGAGTAGCTTATTGTATGCAAATACATAAGCATTGAGTTAAATAGGAAAAGGGAGTTCCTGTAAGTGAAGTTCATCTCCCTAAACCTGCTTATGTTGTGGGGCCTGCCTCATTATATAAGGCTTTGTGCTCATGTTTCACATTATTAAAATTGCTGTCAGGGTTTCTTTCTTAAATTTCTTAACTATCTGCCAAGTTTCCCTTTACAGAAGAGGACTTCAGACAGAACAAGTGAAAGCTGGAGAAGTCATATACTTCAAATGTTTTTTCTGCCAAGTTTTTGTAATGCTGGAAACAAAATACAAAGGACGCCTTATTCCTTCATGTCACCACCCATTTCTTTCATCCTTTCCCTCTGTATGCCATTTCAATTAAAAATGCCACACTGAAATGAAGTTCATAATTGAAGGGAAAGGCAGGTAATGCCTGAGTTGCAATCTGAATTGCTGAATGCCCAGGCTGTCATTCTCATTCACATTCAATGGACTCTTTGATCCATGGGTGATTGGTGTGGTGTACTGGGGCTCTTGGGGCTGGTCCTGCACCCAGCAGACCTTGCCCTCAGCCACAGGGCAGGGTGTTGATTCAGTGTTGATTTGAAGTACCTGAAGTCTTGTATCACAATGACATCAGCCAGGTATGCTGATGGACTAGCATGAGTCCTGCAGTGTCTCACCTCTTCTTAGAGGCTTTTGGTCAACACAGCCTTACACTACACTTTTAGCCTGCAACAGTCAAGTCTCAGTTCTGAGTGTGGTGCCGAAAGATTTTCACCAAGTACTTTTTGTAAAAGCAATTCTAGATTAGGAGCCAGATACATATTTTCTACTTTTAGTAACATTAATTCTTCTGGGTTAGGTTTGTTTGGTTCATTTCCAATTTCTCTTGGAAGGATGCAGTCTTTACTGAGCAGAATATCCAAAATCAGTGTTCTTCAGCTTTACTGTACTGCTGTTGTTCACCTTTCATACCTTTTATTCACAGTCTCATACCCATTATGTTTGTGTTTTTCTTTATGGAAGCGAAATTAAAGCAAAAGATGTATTTATGTGTGCAGTTGATCCCACTGTATGATTCATGCAAGGAACATGCTGGCTTTATTGATATTCTATCCCAGATAGTCATTATCATTTCAGAACCTTAAAAAAAAAAGGAAAGAAATGACATAAAGACAAAATGTGTGGTTTTTAAGAAATCTCATAATATTATAATTACTTTACTCAGTAAGACAGAAAATAGAGGCAAGCAACACTGTTTCTATTGAGTTTTTCTGCTTTCCTGAGTTAGTTTTCTTAATTTGTGAGGCAGAAGTGATACTAGCTTTTTCTAGAAGAATGAAAACCTGTCAACAGGATGAATTCTCCTTGCAGCAGGCAGCTCTCACAGAAGCAGGTTAGGTAAACTGCTGAAGGCAGTCTATCAGCCCCAGCATCCTGGCACACCTCATGTACAGAACATTCCTGCTGGCCAGAATAACTTCAGATGTAAGAGAAGGTCACAGGAAGGCAAAACTGAATCTGGTTACTTGCACCCTTCCATTGGCAAAAGGACAAGTTTCTTTTCATGATAAAAGCTTAAAAATCGGTCCTTAAATGAGCAACAAAGTCAACATCAATGACAGTGAAGTCTTTTCAAGAATATTCTATTTTGAGACATTCTCTTATTTCAAAGAGTAGACATTTCCTGGATGGCTTAGGACAAGTCATATCAAAGCCATTTACAGCACTTTTTCATTTCTTTTTCCTCTCTCTTCAGATCCTCTAACATATGTTTGTTGATGATAAGTTGGTTTGCTCTATTATTTTACAATGATTTATGCTTTTTGTTCAAATAGGAATTTGAGCCCTCTGTTTTGCTTACTAATGCTCAGCAACATGTTAAGCCACCTTCTATTAGAGAAAATGTAGGCCCTTTATTCCTGGATAAATTACATTGCTTGAAATTGTCAACCTTAACTCTATTGAGAGTACATCAATTTTCATTTCAGTTTCCCACATACTGTTTCAGATTATGGCTTGAATATTAGAAATTGTGGATTTCTGTAAGATAAATCGTGATGTTTTCATAACAAGTGAGACATCAGATTCACCCACTCTTAGAATGATCTACAGGCATGCAGAAACTAATTATTACTTATTTTCTATCAGTCAGCCTTGGACTTTGCAGCAGAATACCTGTTCTGTCTGAAAAATGTTACAACAAAGAGTAAGATAAGAGATAAGTCCAAGAAAAGGGATAGCATTCATGAGAGAATCAAGAGAGACATTAAGTAATATATAGAGGAAGACAAGAGAAAAGATGGAAGTTATTTAAGCTTAGAAAAACCTTAAAATAGAATACATGGACATTAAATTTGACCCAGCATATGAGAAGAACTTTCTAGGAATTTTTAGCTTGTCTGGACATGAACAGAGAAGCTCTTAATGCCTGTGAAACACATAGACTGGAGAGGCATGAAGTGACAGTCTGGAAAACCAGAGTTCCAGTTATACTGAAAGAAAGAGTGAGACAAATCTTGGAAGAAGAAATATCCAAGTAGGACTTCTGGTTAGAATGCCTCACTTTTAGTTTCTGTGACTGGTGGTTATATGGTTTGTGATTCACTGGGGCAAAAGGTAAAATGGCAGTAATATTTATTCCTGATGTATTTATTTTCTATTCAGGTTACACATTTGTTTGATAATGGAGGAACTGTCTTCTTTGCTATTTTCATGGCAATTTGGGGTAAGTGCATTTTTATTTGTTTAGTATTTTTAGTTCACCTGACCCTTTTGTAGGATTACTGGGTAAAGGGAGATTATAGCTCGAGAGAAAATTTAAGGAAGGATTATGGTTTTGTCACACAACCTCTTTTGTTCCTGTTTCAGCTTCAACTTCTGTGCTAGCAGTGGGTGGAAATACCTTTTATCATTAATGTAATAACTGTGTTCAAAATCTAAATGTCTTCAGGCCTGAATTTTATATCATGTAGGTGGAAGTCTTTTAAGAGGCAATCATGGAGGTTAACTTACTTATCTGGAGTCAATATAAAAATGACATCTTGTAGAGAATTCTTGTAGAACAAATGAGAACAATTTTGTGGGAGCTAAAGTAGTATAGGAAAGATTTGATGGTAAGTACTTAATTTTAATACCTATATTCAAATTCTCATTCTGAATATCTCGTTATATTCACTCTGACATCACACACATCATGTTATGGGGCCCAAAGCCAAGCATGGTGATATCCACAGAGGCTACTGTTTAACAGGAGTTACCAAGGACAGTCTTGTCTCTTAGAAGGTCAGTGTCATAGTACCACACAAGACATGTAATAGTTCCAGCATGAAATTCTTGCTGGAATTACCTTTCACTGAAGCCAACAGTATTTTGCTACTAGAAAATAGAGGAAACTAGTATTATAACAAGACATAATGAATTTTACCAGTGTAAATGTTTGCCTGTGTAAACCCTGAGAAAGTAATACCAGTTCGCATTTGTACAACTCTCTGAATTCAAGCCAGGATTTTACAATTTTAAATAGAGTCAAATGGCACACAACAGCTGTATTTAAGAAATATGTATTAAAAAGTATTAATGATTCTAACTTCAAGTGAAGAATGAACGAATGTCACAGATTTTGGAGGCTGGCCTGGTAAAAGCAAAAAAAAATATTCAAACAGCAGCAAAACATCAGAGCTGTATAGACAACACAAGAAACGCATGCACATACATGCAAAAATCATAATTAGGTTGTTAAAAATTAACACAATATAACTGGCACACTTTATTGCTTGCCTCAGTGATATTTCTTCATTGGCTGCTGATCTTGCTTTTGTAGCCTTGCAATTACTAATAATTAGTTTCATAATTTCCTAAAAGACATTGCACTTGGTTATATAGTTACCAGACAATGCTGGTAGCTTCTTTGTCTTCATTTCTGTCTTTGAGCTCCCCTTAGAGAAAGCCCTTGCCATTTTCAGCTGAGGCTGAGGTTCCAGTGGAAATAGGAATTCATAGAATGTCCACATTCATGACCAAAAGTTACCCAAGGCAGAATTTTACCTGGATGCTATTTGTCTATATTATTTCTAATAAAGCAAGTGTAATATCCTTCCAGCAAAACCATAGGATGATCACTTAATTACAAAGTCAAAGAGTGATGGGGGCCCTGCCTGCTGCCTGTCTCTTTATCTTGTGATTTTTGCCTTTGCTTTCCAAAACATTGTTTGCACACTAATAGTTGTAAGAGGACAGCTGCCAGGTCCTTTTGGAAAAAGGAAAGCATGAGAATAACAGGTGAGAAGATAATCTGAAGCTGACATTATAGTGAAAAGTGGGATGATGTCATGTCAGCCATAGGAATGCCATCAGATGGGCAGCCTATGTTGTCTTCCACTGCCTTGTCTGCTGTGCTGCTTCTGTCATCTGGCACACATCCAAAACTTGTATCATATGGTCCAAGTGAGTTGTCTAAGTGGAGAACTAAAAGGATAATGGGATTATTTTTTTATATATTGCTTGAAAGATTTATATATTGCTTAAAAGATTTGTATCCCTGTATACTCCCAGCTTAGTTCAGCAGTCCCTTGCAGCTAAATCCAGTCAACCTCTTTCTTGTTTGAAGGAGCAAAAGATGAAGGCCCTGATCCACAGTTTTCTGAGGATAACACAGTCCTCCCAGTAAGGTCCATTCAGCACTACGCGGGTGGTCAACTTTCAAAGCTGTTTCCTAATCTGACATCCTGGCAGCTTTCAACTCTTGCATTTAAGCCAGAGAGGGTGTGTTGCCAGAGTTTTATTTTCATTTGATTTTATATGAGAAAAAAGTGTGTTTGCCCTCTCAATGTTTGTTTAAATGTTTAAAAATAAAGTCCATGAACGTGATACAAATGTTTGGAGACTATGTGATTATGCTTTAATGCGAGTTTACACATATTTATGGCAAACATAAAAGCAATCTTCCTTTTAAACCTCTTTAAAAATATTTTTACTCCTGAGAGCAGATACACTTCATCCCTCATTCTATAACTGAAGTTGGGTGAGTAAGGAGTCTAGCCTTATTCAGTTAATTAAAGTTTGGGAGAGCTTTTGAGCTGTAATTTTGAACTTACCCACAGTTCTTTCAGTAGGTTCACTGATACTAGATAACAGTATTTTCTGATATTTTAGAGGTTAAAAAAATAACTTGTAAAACAAAACCACAAAATTAAGGGGCGTATTTTTTAAGCTAAAATTTAAAAATAATAAAGTGCTATCAGTTGAAAACTAGTTTGAGTGGAGTTGATGATATGATTCCTAACAAATTCTTCTGGCAGTCATGGGGTAAAGGTTGGACTTGATGATCTTAAAAGTCTTTTCCAGCATGGTTGATTCTATGATTCTGTGATTAAGACCAGACTATTTAATCAGCTGTGTGCAGAAGCAACAAAATGTTCTTATGCAAAACATTTGTGCTATTTCTTACCTGGGTCATTCCTTGTATCATCATAAAGCCATCTGTGGGAAAAAGACTCTAACCTCTTCTTACCACATATAAAATATCCAATCAGACCAATTAATACAGACAACAAAATGGCTCCTACAATGACACCAACTATTACTCCTCCTTTGTTCATTTTGTCTAGGAGAGAAAAAAAGAATAGAAAGTTGAATAACAAGAATAAGTCTGTAAGTTCAGACACTTGACTCTTGCTTTATAGCAGTCAAGGGTTTTGTGAAGTTAGGCTTTTCAGTAAGGATCTGAAACACTTTGCAGACTGACTAAACCAGCCTCCATGCAGAAACCTTCTGCCCTTGGAAAAGAAAACAGACATTTCCATCCTTGACTTTCAGGGAAATAACGTGGGTTTAAAAAAAAAAAAAGGGAAGGCTAAATGAGCTTTTTTAGTCAAATAAAAGAGTTTCAGGTTTAATTGCAGAATTACCCACTGTCCTTTTCCTGAAAGAAGTAAGCAGTAATCACTCTTTGAATGCAATTATTTTTAAGTATTTAGGCCAGCAGTTAAAATTGCAGCCTCTGAATTTCATGTGATTAACTTTTAGAGTACCAACTTTTAAGTATGTAAGGTAAGAAATCCAGTAGTTCTTTCTGCACTTGTTCAGTTAGCAGAACAACTGCATTCCTCCAAGATATTTCTTAAATGTAATAAAAAATTTCTCCTAAGTATTCTGTTTTTCTTGGAACTGAACTTGATTTCCCACCCCAGTTCCTTTTCGGTCATGTTATCTAAAAATCAGGTACATTATAATTATTAGAACAGTGATGGTAGTTGATGCTCCTGCAGTTCCTGGTACAAAGTGTACTCTACTGGATATGATGGATAAGCTTGTGTTAAAAGCTTGAAAGCCAATTAATGACAAAAAATTACTGTGTGTTCTAATCCTTCCTTTTCTTTTTCTGATGACCCGATTTAGAACAGCAGAGTAGAAAAGTTCCATGACAGTTTTATACTCCTTTGTTTTCCCACGCATACTTGACTTCATAATTAAATGCACAATTTAATGTAATTCCTTTGGAAGTATTTATAAGAAGTCATCTTTGGTCACAAAAGTTTCTGAACTTAAATAAGTTGATGTGTTACACGCTTTAAATCCCAGAATGGTTTGGGTTGGAAGGGACCTGAAAACTCATCCATTTTCAACCCCCTGTCACTGGCAGGGACACCTTACACTAGACCAGGTTGCTCCAAGCCCTGGAGCACTGGCACTGCCAGGGATGGGGCAGCCACAGCTTCTCTGGGCAGTCTGTGCCAGGGCCTCATGACCTTCGCAGGGAAGAACTTCTTCCTTATATCTAATTAAAATCTACCCTTTTTCAGTTTAAAGCCATTCCCCCTTGTCCTGTCCCTACAAATCTTTGTCAAAAGACCACCTGTTCTCCAGGTTGAGCAAGCCCAACTCTCTCAGCCTGTCTCCATAGCAGAGGTGCTCCACCCCTTGCAGCATCTTTATCTTTGTGTCCCTTCTCTGGACTCACTCCATGTCTGTCTTAGGTAGGGGCCCCAGATGTTATTTCTGCACAGCTTCATCCACTCCAGTATGAATGGGCTGTATGTGTCATTAGCTTCCCCTATTTTTGGAAGTGTTAAACAAGTAAACAGCAAATAAGAAAAAAAAAAAAACCACACCTTTTTTATTTGGGCGAGTTTTATTTTTAGTCTGTACTAAATCACGTCTTAATTCACATATCTGATAAAGCCTCCTGTTCAAGGAAAAAAAGGTATTATAATTTTGTTAAATCAGCTGGTCTTCAGTTATAGACTTACCTGCACTAGCATCTTTTGAATCAGGCAATGCAGTAGGAGAGTTGCTGAAATTATGATTCAGCTCAGTTGCCTGCAGAATGGTGCTGGAGTTTGTTGTGGTACTGTCCTCCTTCACTGTGGGTGATGTCAGAGCAATGCTGGTGGGGAACAACGTGGTGGCATTGACTGAAGAGTTATCACTGGGGAGCACCACAGCCAAAGGCGTGCTGTAGGTGACTGTGGAGTTACTTGATTTCTCTGTGGACGTAGAAGTAGCTGCGGCGCTTTTGGTCAGTCGAGAATGTTCACCTGTTGTTGTAAGTGTCACTAAAGATACTGGGATTCTGTTGAAGGTTGTGGCAGAGTTGTTTATTCCATCTTTAGATACTGTAGTGGCAACTGAAAATAAAGTGGTGCTATCAGTGGACGTCGGGGGTGTGCTGTTTGGCTGACTGCTAATCTCTGTTGTTTCTGCTACATTTTCTTTGATGTTGGCCGT